CACCAGACACTTCCCTCTCCTTCTTGAGGCCACTTCTTCCCCCCACCCTGCCTCCCACCTCCACCCATCTGCTTCTCCCAAATGTCAACTTGGTGGAATCCACTAGCTTTGGAGTCGAGTGCGTAGTTGGTCCGCCGCTTCAGCTTCCATCCTTCCTCTTCATTTGCGTCTTGGTATGGATTATCGAGTTGCTTCTTTTTCTCTCGTGCGTCTTCATCTCGTGACTCATCGGGGTCCCGTCCCAGATGGCCTGCGTCCTCCTCAGGCTCCTCGACTAACTCTGAATCATCACCTGCCCCGACGTCCTCCTCAGCATCAAAAAATGGATCCAGTTCATCGTCCACTTCGACGCCTCTAACAATTCGCAGAGGCAAAGGGTGTCTGGGAAAAGGGGCACCTTTGGATGATGGTGGGGTGGGAAAGGGGCTGTCCACCTCTTCGTCAGAAAAGAAACGGTCAAACGGGGGAATTCCACCAGAGGCCATCTCTTCCTCATGATCCAGCGATCGGCCAGCAAAGGCTTGTGCAGGAGCGGCGGCTGCTGTGGCGGCGGCTGCTGCGGCGGCTGGTGGGACTACGGCTCTCTGCTCTTCTTCCTCCTCAATCCCGTCTTCCTTCTCCCATTGCAGGCCCCGTCCTGGTTGAGGCGGAGTTGGTGATAGCTGCATTGGGACGGGGGCCAGTGGAGATATGTGGCGCCGTCGGCGACCTCGAGACCTTTCTCCAAAACCAGCAAGGGAGAATTTGTCATCTGGAATGCCGCGGATGTAGGGGGAGAAGCGAGCCCGCCTCTCTAATATATATCCAGCCAGCCCCAGCTCGTCAAGGTCTTCATATGTGTGGTCGGCCTCGAGAGCCCCCAGGACCTCGTGAATAGCCAACGCTCGGCCAAATGGTCCCGTCCGCTGAGTAAGCGAATTGCTCTAGAGTCCCATTCCTCGCTCTCCGTAGCGGCCAGGCCATTTGAGACCCCAGGCGGGTTCGAACGGCCGAGCTAGAATGACGTCCAACCTAAGATCCGCCACCAATAGACTATATAGCCGAGTTACTCTCCTGAGCAGCCGGTGGCCCTCGTCATTGTCATGTGACCTCTTTCACGCTACCCTGTAGCAGAATGCCTCTGCCTGACGAGCTCCCAGAAATGTTCGATAGGCATGTCGAGGTTTGGTGTCTCATCAGGGATGTCCTCGATGACCAAGCTCAAGTGCTCGCGGGCCAGCCTTAGGAAGTTGCCCATTCGGTAGCCCTCCCTCCTCAGCCGGTCCCATCCACGCTCCATAGCCTTTTTCAGAGTCTCGTCCTTGACCCTCATGGCGACAAATCGCTCTTTGAGAGCATCGGCAAGGTCTCGGGGAATCGCATGCTCGCCCACCTTCAGACCAGCCTCTGCATCCTGTGGGGACTCATGTCTCCGTTTTCCCCGACCAATTGGCACAGCAGCAGCAGCAGCAGCGGCAGCTGCGGCAGGCATTGGGTGGTCTGGCTCAGGCTGGGGCTGAAGCGGGGCATCACGCATTTGGTCGTCTGTGTCGGGCTGAATGTTGGGCAGGGGAGGGAGGTATGGGGGAGGCATCGGTATGTTTTCGGGAATCACTGGTGGCGGAGGGGCATTCGGGTGGAGGAGCGGTCCGTGTTCGCCCGGCGAAGGGACGATTGGTGGCAGTATTGCACGGCCGACCGCTTGCAATGCAGGAGGCGGTGGAGGCGGGGCAGGTGCTGCTGCTGCTGCAGCTGCTGCAGGTGGAGAACCTCTCGCCCCTCCTGCAGCCTGACGATTCCTCAGACCTCTCACCCGCAGTAAGGGCTCGCCTCGACGATTTAAACCGTCCAGACGTGGCGGGAGTCCAAGCTCACTTCGCCAGTCTTCAGCCTGTTCCCGCCTGTTCATATCAAACCTGAGTTATCTGTCAAATCACAACAGAGAGAGCAGCAGAGCCGATATCGGTATTGGTGATACAAAATTGAGTGAAGGATATCTCGCCAACCAGAGTGAGTGAGTTGATGATGATGCCAGTGGATTGATTGCCCTTCGAGAGACGGTTCAGATGCACCGGGTGCGGTTTGTGTCGGTCAAGTCACTGCAGAGAAAGCAGGAAGTCGAATATGTATTGGTGATATGCGAATTGAGTGAGGGATATCTCGCCAACCAGAGTGAGTGAGTTGATGATGTTGGGACTGGATGTTGAAGTTGTTGTGTGGATAGCAGAGTCCCACAGATCACGAGCGTTGATAAAAGAGCGGCAGAGAGGTCCAACATAAACAAGCAGGCAGGCAAACACGAAGGCGAACACGAAAAGGCACGTGGCCTTGGCGAACTGGGCTATCGGCGACCCACGATGACATGCAGGCTGGCTGGGCTTATCGGCGACCCACTTACATGAAGGCAGAGGCAGGAAACAGGCAGCAAAGTCAGTCAACGCTCGATAGCAGAGTCCCACAGATCACGAGCGTTGATAAAAGAGCGGCAGAGAGGTCCAACATAAACAAGCAGGCAGGCAAACACGAAGGCGAACACGAAAAGGCACGTGGCCTTGGCGAACTAGGCTATCGGCGACCCACGATGACATGCAGGCTGGCTGGGCTTATCGGTGACCCACTTACATGAAGGCAGAGGCAGGAAACAGGCAGCAAAGTCAGTCAACGCTCAAGTGTGCCAAAACAGTAG